AATGATAGGAAGAAAAACTGAAATCAAATTTTATAACTGAAATTCATGTCTCTCGTTACATCTAGAAGTTTTGCAACAGAAAAAGAGTAAAAAAATAACCAACCTTGAACATGAGTTGATCCATCAGGCATGTCTTTGAGTTGTAACAGATCAAGAACATCTTCAGTTGGGAAGTGCCTTGTGAAAGGCCGCAATGATCCCTGCCTGTGGAGAAATATCACTGCATAACCTTGATCCAGGAAATATCTTGAGCATTGACAGTCAAGGAGGTGACAAAAAATAGACAACATGTCTGTCAACATTATTTCATTCAATATTTCAGTCATAGAAAAAAGAACCCTGAGTGTTTTAACTCACAAATCTCTATACTCAGGCCTTTTTCAAATTTTACTCACTCTGATACATTTTAATTCACCAAGATTGGCTAGTTTGCCAGGCAAAGAAAAGCAAACTTAGCTGTGAAGTTGGTCCTATTCTACACGTAAAATTTATATTGGCTTTCAGAAATGCATAGGTTAATACCATATTTTCTAATACCAATATCATGAAGTTTCAATTACTAGACACAGTCAAACCACCCATCAAGATACAAACGAATAAAGGCTGATAGTTTCGAAAGAAACTGTTTGGGGCTGCGTCGGTGAGAGTAACGAAATAATTTGGATATATCAACAAAGTTGAAATGGTAAATTGGCCACCGCAACGATTACAAAAGCTGACGTTTCAAGCGTTAACCCTTCGTCAGAGCGAATAGAGGAATTGTGGGTTGTGCGTGCTTTTAAAGGTGGAAAATAAAGCTACGTCAAGATAGCTTCACACAAATAGCTTCTTGTCAAGGATACTCAGCAGAGGCTGATCCTCTGGTCCCCATGCTGAAGTTGTCAAGGAAACGAACAGCATTTTCCTCTAGTGGTACACGAGTGCCTCCAGACTGTATTAACCAAAATATTTGCAATCAAATCAAATCTTGGCCTACAACATCAACGGGCCTGGGTAGTGTTTTTCAAGGGTAAGTTACCTCGCATCACACCCAAGGCACCAACTCCACTGTCATGACAACAGCCTCTCTGTGTTTAACTTAAAGTGACATTTTGTCAAATGAGCACTAAGTAATGCATTACAAGTAGATTCTTTGAATATGCATTTTTTTTGCCACCTGATTAATTGGGTTTGTAAGTGGTTAATTAAAAAAACCACCTCACAAAGGGAAAAGGCAAAGGTGGGAGGGGGGATGGGCACCCCAGAACTACCCCCTCATCCCTCACTTCATTCCATGATCAAATTTTAAAAGTACAATTAAAGAGTTATTGATCTGATGGATTCTTTAGAATCTAAAAATTGCATAGTTAATTAGTTTGTGACTCAAACTCTAAATTTTTTCAATAGAAGAGGTAAAAATTGGATGGTTTTTGGAACATACTTCTTCTACAAAAGGCTAAATTAAGGGAGTTGTCCACCATTCTATAGATGGATACAGCACTCCAAAAGAGCAGTTTTACAACAGACCTTGGTCAAATTTGCTGTTATGAAATCAGAATCTATTCCTCTTTATGGTTATTTAACGGAAACGATTTGTATTTACGAGAAGATTAAAACTACTGTTTAGTCTGTTTCCAAAGAGAGAAATAAAAAATTCTAAGTTGATAGTGTTTTTCACTTTTTGCCACAAGAGGGAGTGCAACTGACGTAAGATTAAATATTCATATGAACACACAACAAACAAATTGGAATAATCCGTTCAGCTGAGCTGAAAATCGATTTCGCATCTGCTTGACTTTCGGTTAGCGTCCCCGTTTTCTATCCCAAGTGTAAATTTGAGCACCGTCTGAACGTTCCTGATATTTGAATCACAGAATTACGAGTGGTATGTGGATTAACCATTATGTAAATGTATCATTTTCATTATAATAGCGTAGCGTAGCTCGCATCAGAAAACAAACAACAACTCACACATGCGGAACCAAGAGTAGATGCTAATACACTTCATTCTAGGGATTAAAATGATCTAGGCAAGGTTACGCTCAACTACACACAAGCAAACCGATATTATTTCCAAATTTTAAATATCCCAGAAGCTGCGGGATTAACTCCAAATATCAAAACATAAACACTTCTCTCAAGATTTTGTCGAACATCAAGAAAATTACAACGCACAAATATCAATAATAAAATCATAAGCTATAGGGTCGCTGTTGTACGCTAAACTGATCACATCTAGCTTTCGTGCATTTCGCAGCAAACGCTTTATACTTCTACAAATATCAATTCTGATTATAGAAACTCTATGAATTCTAAATTTTGGAAGTGACTATGAATTTTAGTAACATCGTTTTGTCATAATATATACTACTTCTTGCATGTTTTAATCGTAATGTCAGATTGAGGAGTGTATGTGCATATGCATGGATTTCCGGCGAGAGAAGTTTCCTTCGTGAGATGTCTGTGAAAGCTGTAGACTAACGACTCACCGTCACAAAGACTATTTCTCTTCCAGCTGCCCGATGTTTCCCTGCAAATTCACTAACAGAGGCTCTCACTTCTTTCAGATTTCTAGGAGGTGTGTGTCGAGAGAAATATTCAACCCAATCCGCCATGATTCATGAATTATCCCTCATTACATATTCGGCTTTGATTTTTGAGAAAATTGTGTTCTCTTCGCTTAGAGAAGCGAACTTTTCACTTTTGTTTGTCAGTGTAACTTATTGGAGCAATTTTCATCGGTGGAACACAATTTCATGCCGAAAAACCGACCATTTTAACCACAATTAAACACAGAAAGTCGCGAAGGAGGAGAAATAATTTGCGAGTAATGCATAAATTATTACAGACGGATGTCATAGTAGCCAATCAGAGAGCTGTATTTCACACCAGTTGTCTGAACTACGTGACAGGAGAGCAGAATACTAAACAAAACCTAACTTAATTCTACAATTTATTAACGCATCTCACTATCTGGGTCAGGTAAAATCTGAATTTTAATATCTTTCTGTGATACTTAGCTCTCTGGCAAAAGTAAGAAATCCCGCGATGATCTTTGAAGTATCACGTGACTCTAAAACTGTCACAAACCCTCAGCTAAGCAAATCTGATCAGTCTCAGCACATAACTGGAGTAAACAGTAGAGCTNTAAGATATGAGGATTTAAATAATTTGTACCAACGATTTGGACGGAAAGGTCTTGTGTGTATTTTGACGAGACCGCCATTGTCCAGTCGCTCATCGCTTCCAAGGGTCACAAACACGACGAGAATAGTCTCCGCAATTTTGAAACACTTCGAAGAGATTTCCAAGGATTCTGCGGCATAGTAAATTAAGGTATGTTCTCAACTGACTTTCAGGTCAAAAGCAGTTTGTACAAAAACGTCAAAGATAATGACCGCCCGTGTTTGCACATTCGTTCTCGACAAAACCGCGAGGTTCGAAAGTTCGCGCATGCTCAAATAGCGATCTTGGCGAGTTCCTATTCTGATCACGTGATTGTCATTGAGGTGAAAAAATAGAAAGTTCCCCCTCAGATTTCTCGTATTTCCTTCGGTGAAATTCCTTAAAATTTGGCAGAAATGTTAAACCCTTTTAGCTTTCCTTGCTGTGAATTTATCAGAAAAATTTGTAAGACAAGTTTTTCGCTCAGCCAGAAAACAACAAAAATGTTAAAAGCGAAAAAACTACCTTGACAACACCTATTTTTCTCGATTTTAAAAGTTTCGTCTTGTCAGACTCTACCCGGTCAGAGAATAGAAAATTTTACCGAAGGAAATTGAAGAAAATTGAAATCAAAGTCAAACAGACCTCAAAAAATGGCGATATTTGAGTAGTTTTAATTTGGGACTAAAAGCCTTGACTTCAGAGGTGACTGTTGTACAGCAAATTTAGGCCCTTGTTTTTTATGTTTCAGTAGCTTTGATTTGAAAAATTGCAAAAACGAGAAAAATTAACTTTCGATTGATGTCACTGGCGCGCGCTTCGTGATCTTGCATAACCCTATTGAGCCACCTTAAGTCTTACACTCCATCAAATTCTTTAACTAAGGAAAATATTTAGGATAAAGTATCTACTTCTCAAGAACAGCCAATTAAGATTTGGTAGGGAAGGCTCTCAGATCTCACAAGTTTAACAAGAAATGAAATATTCGGAGGAGCATTAGGGGTGAAGATTCTTTTTTCCATGTTTATTGCTAGGATAAGACTGAGAAGGGCCCTCCAAATTCTACTGCAATTTGCACTTTCTTTGAACTCCTCTTACTACATCAAGATAACCCCAACTCTTCATGGCCTCATAAACCCCCTCCTCCTGGCAACAAACATGGCATGCCAACAGTAACCGCATAATTTTCCATCGTAATGTTAGACCAGTTCAAAACAGCATACTGGGCACTAGCAACAGGTTAATTAGACAAAGCCCATGTGGGGTCAGATACACAAAACAAAGAAAATCAACCAAACGAAACAGAAAATTATAGTTCACATTACAATGAAATGTGAACATGCCAATCATAAAACAACCATTAGCACTCAGTTGGTCATGTCTCACTCCAATTGTCCCCATTCTTTATCTCAGCCGATTTTTTATAGTTAATGGCTACCAATCATTATTCAAGTTCCGTATAGTTCAGTTTCAATAGAGAACAAAACATTATCCAGAGCTGCAGTTATTTCACTAAGAGTGTTGCCCTGCAGGCCTTTTGTTTAATTTATAATAAAAAATCAGAAATAAGCTTTTACAAAATTTCTGATTGGTAATTTTTAGACAATCCTTGAATTCAACTTAGAAGAATCAAATGACGTAGCCATGGTCATTTCACAGAGGAATCTAACGCCGGCATGAATGCTGATGGTTGGCATATCATTAAAATTTAATTGTTGAGAAAGAATTTGTGATAAATTTAGAGTCTTGTGCAATTTATGGGCTTTGTATGTTCACCTGTTGTCTGCAGAGCAATTAGCTGTTCTAATCTGGTTCAAACCATTCTTGCAGACAAAGATATTTGGACAAATAAAGCATCAAGTAACAACTGTTTATTGAAGAGGAACAATGAAGACAAAAATGAAAGAAAATTGAAAAAGACAACTAGCCTACCTCAAGTGTTCTCATTTTTTTGCAATGAATTCATGTTCCAATTTGCAAAAGTAAAAGTTTTGCTTGTAGGCAGACTTCCTTATTCCTAACTAAATCACCTCAGTGGCTGAGGTTATATTTTCAAAAAAATTCTAGGTATGCCAGTTGCAGCATTGTTGGAACTATTCTTATTCATTTAATTTTCAGCCAGCTTACTATCTGTTATGTTGAGGAACCTGGAAAATGAAACAAATGGCAATCAGACAGTATAATGCACAAGTCTATGACCCGTCCTACTATCAGCTCTTATTTAAATGTACAAAGATTCCTGAAAAAGAAGAGATATCATGGTAACAAAATTTCAAGATGACCTGTATGCATTCCTTCTAAATAATATTACAGGGCAAAGGGCTTGTTAACTCTCAAATGAGCAAATAAAAAATATGAACTCATTTAACTCAACCCATTGAAATGTTTATTCTCACAACAAACATTAATACAATGTAAATTAAATTAACAAATAGTTACGACACTATAAATACCAAACTTACCTTAGCATAAAAGCAAGCTCATGTTTTATTAATCATATGCAATATACAAATTTTATATAGCATGTTACTGTATCTACAAGTAAACCCCATTTGCATCAGGTCAGACCAGCCATGTTTACTTTACACTTGTTTATAGAGACAAGTGTTTTTAAGGCTACAATTCTAACACTCATCCTTTTTTTGTATAGTATGGATGTAAATAGGGTTTACATAACCCGAAAAAACAGGAAGCAACTAGAATTATAAAAACAATTACTACCCGCAAAGCAGTGTTTTAAAGATCAAGAATACATGAACCATGATTAATGTAAATTGCCCTTGGAAGGGAGTTTGCACCATGTTAACTAGCAGAACAATTTCCAACTTGTTTGTTTCTAGCCATCTCAGAGATGCATTAGGTATATTGCCAAACAGCTTCCAAAGAAAAACTAGATGATTGTGCTACTACTGCAACATATCAGTGCAAAGTACCTTTCTCGCTTTCCAAAAACTGGAGAATGCCTTCAACAAAACAAAACAAAACAAAAGGCTTGATCTCAGTTTTCAACAGCATTTTTTCCCACAAAATAAATAAATAAAGAAACTAAGGGAAATAAAAAATAAAATAATCTAAAACAAAAATCAGCATGTTTTGAGTGCTCTCAGGTATGAATGAATAACTCTGAAAACTATGAATCTAACCACGGGGTCCAAACTAAATAAATGCAAAAAACCAGTCTCTTCTACACACGGGATTCAGTGTTGGAGGCTCGATTAGTCCTGTCTGAGCGGCAGAGTTTGCTCAGCTCATTCACTTTGGAGAATACACGATCATGAGGTTCTAGGGATCGTGTCCACTTTGGCAACCATTCCCAGTCTTGGAGAACTTCTGGTAGATGGCCTGGAGCTTTCCTTTGAAAAATGTTCACAATAACAATGAACAGGAAGAGAAGTAAGAGGGGAGCAGCTACACCAAGGAGAATCTGCCAACCAGCCAGTGACAAGCCAAAGACAGCTGCTGGGAGAAGGAAGAACCCGAACACCAAGTATGCAATGGCAAACCATCTGTAGTCAGCAGTTTTGTTTCCTAAGGACTTGGCAAAACCAATGGGAACTTTTCGCAGGTAAGGGATAGGATACCACACCAAGATGCCAGAAATATTGAAGAATAGATGGCAGAAGGCAATCTGAAGGGCTTTGTCCAGATTTGACGAACTTGCCAAGGCAGCCAAAATACCTGTTGCAGTTGTTCCAATGTTTGCACCCAAGGTCAGAGGGAAGGCTCGTTCAATGGTGACAACTCCAACACCTATGAGAGGTGTAAGGGCAGATGTGAAGATGGAACTGGATTGCACCAACATGGTAAGACCAGCACCGACAAGAATTGTAAAGTAGCCAGTGAGATGTTTGAATGGTCCGGGGAAGTCTGCATTGACCGTCCTTTTGATGATTTTAGCCAACTGACCACGAAGCATGGAGTGAAGAACCTTCACGATGCAGACAAGGCAGACACAGAGCAGGACGATGGAGAGTACTAGGATTATGATGCCAACCTCAGTGTCACTCAGGGATGTACCTCTAAAGAGAAACTTGCATGTGGGAGGTTCCATTTCTGACACATTTTTCAAATAATGAAAACCAGTACTATTAGTAATGTTCTTAGTCACAGTTACTGTCTTTACACAGCTTTTGATGAGGGATTTTGACTCTGCTGATTGATCTCCCAGGGCAATCTTCTCAATTATTTTTTTGTCCAACTGAATAACAAGCTTGGTAAATGGTTCTGTCAATTTCTTCAGCAATTTTTTGTTGGTCCCTTTCTGCTGGGTCAAGGGAAGTACAGCTATGATCTCACCAGTAATATAAAGTAGGTAGTGCGTGATAACCTCCAGGGGTAGGAATATAAGCACACACAACCAGTTAAATATATCATGTACTGTTGCTCCAGCAAAGGCACGTCGAAACTCATTACGCTCAGCAGCTTGCGCAAGAGAAACTATGGTGTTGGTAACTGATGTTCCTATGTTGGCACCCATTACAATTGGGATGGCAGGCTCAACATCTAAAACTATAAAAAAAAGTACACATATTCATTGATTACTTTACTTCAACTAAAAATGCAATTTAAATCACAAATTTGGGCAAGGCTGTTTATAGAAAAAAAATCTACTTTGAAAAACACAATTGCACTCAGTCAAAGACCTTATTCAATGCAGACAACCAATATTTCACTAACAAGTCACGATACAAATTCTGACCAGAAGATGGGCAAGAAACATCACGAAGGAAGTAATGATCACATAACTCCTTCTTTGATTAACATGAAGTTAGTTTGAAGGTTTTAAGCGAAAAAAAAAAAAAAAACCCGTCTGATGTTGCCCTTGCATACATTAACCTCCGCAAAGTTATCGAACACAGTACTTGGATGTAATCAGAACAGAAGGTAATGAGGCAAAGCGACTAAAGGAGCTCTTACTACCCAAATATCATCACTGAAATTCGCCACTCGACGAGGAATTCTTTCAATATACTTGAACAATGAAGATCGAATTTTCTGGCAACGAAATGATTAGAGTCTCAGAGCTGCCAACTGAAGTTAAAAACACTGAAAAGGGGTAGATATTAATTATGTTGGAAACAAAACTGTGCAGTAATACTGGTGACAAATATTTCTGAACACCGGCAATAGGAGCAAATACCATTACGTTCATCAGTTTCCCTTACACCTTCGATCAATACTTTCCGGAAAAAATCAATATCCAAAATTGTGGAGGAAAAATTTTAAATCAAACGCAATCTTTAAGGAAAAGTTCGTAAGTTTTCAAGCCTAACAGGATTGATTGCTAATAAAAACGAAAAATGAAACAAACATTTAAAGCAAGCCTGTACTGAAGCGTGTTGTTTCAAATACTTCTTTTAGAAATCTTTAAAATAAAAAATGTCACGTCCAACTTACTCTGTGCAGCAACCATTGAAACGACGATGGATGTGGTTGTAGACGAACTTTGGACAAGAACCGTTGCCAAGATGCCGATCATCAATCCGGCGACGGGGTTGCTCAAAATTTTGTTAGACGCAAATGCTTCGCCTGCCGCTTTTCCTCCAAGCAATCGGAAGGCGCTACTGAGAAAATCCAGCGAGCAGATAAACAGATAGAGGAGACCAAGAAGAAGGGCGATCTTGGCAAATCCCAAAGCGACTCGTTGCACCTTCCCGAATCCATCAAGTTCTGTGGGCCCGCCAAAATCAGAATGAGTGTTGAACGGGAAAATCGGTTAAAAAAAACATAAATTTCATGACGAGATCACAAAAACTTTGGTACTTACCAGACCACTTGGGGCCAAGATCCTGGAGTTCAGGCAAAGCCCAAGGATCAAATTCTTCAGCCTCCTCATGAAGTTCATTTCCCGCCTCTTCATCTACCGGCTCGTAAGCTTTGTTGTAATTCTAAAAAATAAAAAGATCAATAAAATTTAAAGCTCTTCGAGATCTCTGAGTGTCAATACGACGAACGGTAGTGAACAAAATCGCGTGGAAAAGTCTCTACATAATATTGAATACCTACCGGTGGGTCTGCCTGACCACGATTTTCCATTTCAACACCGGTCAACTTGGACGAGCTACGCAACAGGTCCGCCATCTTAGGAGAACTGAATGAAAAACGCCGGTTCAACAGCTTTACTTAGTCCTGAATTACGTCACAATGACTTTCCACCTGATGGGACTATACCCATTTTGATTGGTTGCTGAGGATGGGCTGAGGCGTCCGCATGACAGGGACACGTGAAAGTCTTGAACTTTGACGTTCGCGGGTCATGCGAGATGATGATCATGAACAGTTTCGTACACGTGGTAACGTGGGTTTTCTTTGAACAAACAAGTTCGTGTACGTTTTCTTTGTTGGCAGGAACCTTTTCTTCAGAGTTGCCACTTCCCCTAAGAAAACGTTTTGGTACCGTTTACGAGGATCCTCAAAATAGACGTGAAATTTAAGATCAGGCTACAGGTGTGTACGAAATAAGTCATATTCAAGTTAAAAATGTTCTTCACTTGTTCTAGTCTGAGAGTGTCCTCTTTTCTAAAGATGTGGCACCTATGGTGTTATTTCCCTTGAGACGGTTTTTTCCGTTGGATAACGGGGTAAAAGAGTATTCTGCGTTCGCATTGTTTTCTAATAAAACGAAGTAAATCAGAAGTATAGCAGTGTGTATTTTTTCTTCCCTATTTGTATTGTTTTAATATTTGTTCTCTCACTCGCATGGTCACGTTTTTCACAAAGCGCGCGCGGATCACGATACAGGTTCAAGTCGATCAGCTTGAATAATTCCACGCGCGAACGACTGTCCTAAGGGTATTGATTTGAGAGACAGCAAAATCGCACATTTTTTGATATACGATTCTCTTTTTCCATAGCCTGCTTCTCTCTCGATGATCATTTGACTCCTTTGTTTATGCGAAAATGGCTCAGATAAGCTGAATTTCTCTCACAGTTTCTTCTAGGTAGAACCAATTGAGGAGGAGAAAAATGTTGAAAAAACAGTGACTGCAAGTAAATCTAACAACATTTGAAAATTTCGAGGAAATAAACATCGAATTTTTTCGCAAACCTAACAAAAAGACCGAATCAGTCGTACATCGGGAACCGGTAGCTGTAGAAACTCATCCGAGACATTAGGAACCTTACGCAACCACGACGGCGACCGTGATTTAGGGACGACTTTCAAGGACTGTTTGCTCATCAGGACAATCTGTCCAGGTTAAAGTTTAGTGAATGTGTTTTATCACTCTGTCAGTACTTGAACAACAGACCAAAATGACAAGAGAGTGTCGCAAACAATACCTTGCATGAGCCTCCTGGTTTTGTGCAAGCGATTTTAGCACTTATTTATTCAAATTACGCAATTTGGAGCCCTAAGATGGTAAGTGTGTCTAGCGATTCTAAATTATGTATTGCTGCTAAGCAAAGTTTGTTTCCAGAGCGTTAGAAATCCCAGTGAATCGTTATTATAGCCAAGCGTGGGAGTTTCGCGCTTGGTCATTTCAGCTCCTCCAAGAACTATCGAAGGGGTAGAATGGTTTAGCGTCGTAATAGTAAAAAAAATAGTGATAATCAATAAAGTGAAGGAAAATGGGTGAATCATGCACGGTTAACCACCGCAGCTATAAGTGTAACCTCAAGATAAAGACTGCAAAAGAAACATTTTCAAACCACAAACATTCGATGCTTTTTTATTTTTATGGAATCCTGTATCGCTTAATTTTTTGCTAACGCGAGCACTGGCGGCGGAGGTGCCATGAAAAATGGTAAGTATGCACCCTTACATAATTGCGTCAATATTTACGAGAAAAATGTGACGAATCTGAAAGGTGCATATTGACTGAAACTTGTTATAAATAACTTCTAACTATAACTTAGGGGATAGCTAAATATTCCAACAAACGCAACAATATTTCCACGCTTGAGTCACGGAAACCGGAAAAAATATCATTAGTCTTTAGTGCGAACCCAGAACTCTGGTGGAAACCATTGTTAGTGATTTCAACGCTCTGATCGCGGTATTTTTAGATCGGTTTGCCATTGCAAAAACTCGTGATAACTCAAGAGTAATAAAACACTATGGCGGTGATAAATGACACATAACTGCATGACTTAATTCGTTTCTGATTTGACCCTCGGCTTATTTCCTGTCGACCACGGTAACTTTATTGAATGAAACGTCTGAGGGGTTAGCCTCAAAACAAAGGTTATAGTAGACTCGCGGAAAAGAAGTAAGACATGATTTTATTTTCCGAAAACGCTCGCAAATGCTTGAGTTCTTACCTAATTAATGTGCCTAATACAGGCGATATCCGGCAGGTTCTCATGACGGATTGCGAATGGAAAAGCCACGTAATTACTTAATTGCAGCACCTTGGTAACTCGTGTGAATCATGTTAAAGTCTCTGTGGGGGGGAATTACTTTGAACACGTTAAAAAAAAAATTTTGTGATCAAAATATTTTTCATGCGACTTTTTTAGGTATATTTCACGTTTAGGAGCCCGTTTTGGTCCATATAGCTCTTTAATCGACTTCGTGACACCGTAGTTCATAGGGCCAGTGTACGTCACCAAGTGTTTGCTTTTCCGGTTTTGTCTAAAAACGTGAAGACGTTTTTGTCCAAGTCATAGTTCTCAGAGTAAAATAGACATAGAAACGCTCCGTCATTTCCTTCTATTCCTCCTTCTTCTTTTACTTTTTTAACTGGCACTGTTAACACGAGCAACAGAGACAATTTAAACAGTCAGAGTTAAGAAGCACGTTTTCAGTCGTGCGCATGGTAAGGAAGTTATTGTGACTCTACTTAGCACGGTAGCAACCATGCGAAGGAAAGATTATTTGGAGGATTTTTGATATTTCTCTTGTGTTCTTTAGACAGTTGAGAAGGAAATTGGCGCCAAATCAGAAATAAGTGAGAAGAAATAATATATTCTGTTTTAGGAAAGATATCTTTTGCAATGACAAAGCCGTATTGTGTCACCTGTAGCAAAGTGCTTTCCATGACATTGAAAATTCTCATGAAATAATGGGCGGTTTAGTAAGGACCCTCTAGACTAATGGAAGAACAATAAGCACGGGAAAATTTCACCTGGATAGTTCAAAATACATTGGTTTCTATGGGGTTTTTACATTTTTTTAAGTTCCTTCAGTTGAAAAGGAAATTAGCGCCAAATTTCAGAGCGCGCCACTGTGTGTTCAGAGTTGTTAAGGCAACAAGTGGCAAATAATTGCGAAATCCATGACAAGCTCGGGCTTTCTCTGTATACAAAAGAAACAAGACTTAACGAGGGGTGAATACGAAATCACCAACTGAATCAAATATTTGATAAAGAGTCCTTCTCCAATCATAACCTGTCGTTTTGTCATTTGTTGACGAATGATAAATAAAAACTAGACATATTAGCCTTAAGTAATCTTGGTCTCTGTACAGATACAATGCACAGTCCTCTCTTAATTAAGTATTAGAAGGGGTCCTTTTTCTGAGTATCGTCATCTGTGAACAATGTTTGACTCTTTTGCTCCCATGAGAGATCAAAGCAGAATTTCTCTTACAATTTCAATACAATATCAAGCAGACAATTGATGAGAATAAAGAGAAATATCAATTAGAGGATTATAAGTTGATCCAGTACCAGATTCTCAGAATTAACAGTATAAGAATTGTAAGGCAGAAAGATCGTGGAAGTGAAAGGTTTAAAAGAGCTGATGTAGATTTGAGTTTGAGTGTTAAATTTCTTCTAGTTCAGGCAGAAGAGTAAAAAAAGAATAACACAAGGAACTTTAAAGGATAGATGAATTCTTCTATTTGTTTTGTTTCATTTCACCATAGTTAATATGACTTCACTGTGTAATCATAGTCCCCTCTATTAACTATGGTGTAATGAAGCCGGCGTCGCTTTGTTATGATGGGTTCCGTGATTTATTCACAGTCCAGCTTTACGCCTCAGTGAAGACCGCGCAAAACTTGCGTTCAACGCAATTCTTTGCAACACTTTTTCTCAAAAGATAAAAAAAAAATTGTATTAATGCCCCTAAAGGAGAAATTTAAGAATAGACACACAAAACAAACGCAATCAAAGTACATTTGTAAAGAAGGAACGAGTTTTACTCCAATTCTGTTGCCGTGTACACAAGCCACAACTTCAGTAACGTGCGTGTGACGGAAAGAGCTTGTTCGCGCAGAGGCACCTAATATTTATTTCTTCTTACACTAACTGGAAATACCTTCACGAATTTAGTTACAAATGCTAACAACCTCATACTTAATCCTTTCCCAACCATCTCCCGCGATCGGTGCACAACGATGCGCCAGACCATGAAACTAATAGTCAACCCTATACGAGATACACCCTTTTGCAACTAGGTTACTTCGTAACTTCAACTCCTTGATTTGGAGGTAACCCGATAACGAAGACGAATTTTTATGAGTTTTTCTTGTAGGAACTGTTCGGCGCTGTTCCTGTTATTGTTGTTGTTTTTATGTGTAGGTATCCATAATTTTTTCGCGACCTCATCAATCAATTCTCTGTGGTCGTCGTAGGCTGACTGTTAAAATGCACCCGTCAGTATCAATACAGTTCACGTTTATATTAACAGAATTTTTTTCTTGGGTAATCATAGCATAATTTCCCCTGTCGGAAATCGGGCTTGTAGTTACTCCCTGGGGAAGCTCTTTCACAGGCGTTAAATCAAGTTCTAATCTGTTTGTCTCTGTTATTATTAAGTCTCTTTCTTGTTAAATGCTGACCTTCACCAAATATTAGCTTTCGTCTCTAAGAGAACTTAGAAACATTTCTAACAAGTCGAGAGGTGGTACTAACTAATTAAAGCACAGACTGGGTCAAAAAGTACCACGAACTGGCAAGACTTCGTTGAAAAATATCCTCATTGTTTGAAAGAAAGTGGGGAGCGGGCAGGGAAACATCGCAATGTTTACTTCTGAAACTCCTATTAAAAATGGAGTAATCAAACTGCGAAAGTTAAGTAGAATATGGTACAACAAGAAAACATTGAGAGAAATTGCTAAACTTCAATGTCAGAGAGTTTTCTTAGTACGAACTATTAGTTTATCGGGAAAAAAAAATACGTAATGAAGATGAGTTAATATCGATAGGAACTCTTACTGTAGTGAAAGG